TTAGGCACGAATAAAAGACGTGTGCCTAATAGGCTAGTGGATCGTCTAAAAGAACAACTAGATGCTCATTCTTGCATATAAATATATTTTCATTTGCTTCACAAACATTTTATTTTATTTAATAAATAAATTAAGAATTTTTAATAATCATATATTCTTTTAGCAGAAAATGCAGCATCTACTTTTAAAAGTCTTTTGGAATAATATGAAATAACAACTTGTCATTATTTGACAAATAACTCAACTTCTCAGATACTAGAAAAAACTAGTATGTTGACCAAATCTCATTATTTGGGAGCTTTTAAAAATTCAAATTTTACATCAAATTTTTGCATGTGTAGTGGCGGAACCAGAATTTTCAATAAGGGAGTTCAAAATTTGAAAAAATAGACACACGAAGTAGCCGAAGAAGGTTCGACATCTACTATATATACCTAAAAAGTTATTTTAACCATGTATAAATTAATATAATTTTTCGCAGAGAGGGTTTCGGATAAACCCTTTAACTATAAGGTGGCTCCGCCACTGGTCATGTGCTTCGTCTACTTCACGATATATGAAATGATGCTTGTTGCACTCACTCCAAACTACCACATTGCTCTAGTGTCATGGGCACTACTTGATATTTGTTGCAAAACAAAGATCCAATAGTTTTGTTGTGGAAGTACTGATAGTTTTTAAAACTTATGGATATAAATCATATTTCTTATAAAAGTGAAATATGTTTCCCAAATACTATGATCAATCACATGGTGAAATTTCATCCAAATTTTCACTTAAATAATACTTGCCAAAAATATTTGGAAATCTATGGTCGAACGCTAGCCAAGGATGGAAAAAATGGAAAATCCAAATAAACTAACATTTAAATAAAGTTTTAAATTTTAATATATTTTAAACAGTATGCCAATTTTATTTGAGAATAATAATATAAAACTTTAATTCAGCCAAAATTAAATAGGTATGAATTAATTGAAATAGGGTTGTACCATGAAATGACAGCCTACTAAAAGATCATTACAAGGAGTACAAAAATTTCTGATGTATCATGTGTAGTGTTTTAGTAACACTATACTGTTCTGTTTTTTTTTAAATTATTCGTTCTATGTTCGATATTGTTATTGATAATTTGATTTCAGATTCTGAACTTATATATAACATCATTTATTAGTTAAAATAGAAGAATTATATTCATCTCATTACACTCCTAATTTTAACACGTACGCTCTTAATTACAAAAAAAAAATTGTTAGGATTAAATGATTTTAAGAAGGTGGAATAATATGTATTAACTATATGATTAAATGAATATAAATTTATGTGCAAACATATATCATGTGTATTATCGATATAAATATTGTACGTGGTAAGTATTTATCATAAGAATTAAGAATGTGTTTAGATATTTTGTTACACCTCATATTGATATCAAACTCTTTAAATTCACTATGATGATTACTTAATTATAATTAAGAAAGTAATATTTTATAGGATCATGTACTATATATTTGATATGAAAATTGAATGCGACATATTTGCAATATCGAGCTTATCGATGACATGATTTTAAATAAAAGGTTATGAAATCGAAGATTATAATGAAAGATTAGGTAGATAATCAAGTACTTTTTTCCTTTCTTGTGGAAGAGACGTGATAATAGTTTAAGGGAAAAAGGATAAATATACCCTCGAACTATCGTAAAATGGTTTGCAGATACCCTCCGTCATACTTTTGAGACATTGGTTCTCCTGCAGTCCAAAAACTAGAGCATATATACCCTTTATACTAACGGACAAACACGTGTCATAATCTTATCCATCGACCCGACATTTATTAAATATTGGATCGACGAATAAGATTGTGACACGTATCCCTATTTAGTCTTCTGTTAGAGTGAAGGGTATATATGCTCTAGCTTTTGGAAGACAATGACACTAATGTCCCAAAAGTATGACGAAGGATATCTGCATACTATTTACGATAGTTCGGGGTATAATTGTGATTTTTCCCATAGTTTAATTTGAAATATACCTTACATGTCCCTTCTTTTTCATATTAGTATTATTATTACTTTTTTACTATCTAATTTTTTATTTTTGTTATTAAATGTTATTTTTATTTTGATTATTATATTATTTTATTATTTTTGTGTGCATTTCTTAATTATTTTCAACTTAAATTTTTAACTACTATATTTCCTTTTCAAATATGCTTTTTGTGTGTGTCTCTTAATTATTTTCAACATAACTTTTTAACTATTATATTTTCTTTTTAAATCTGCTTTAAAAGTCGTTTACTTGAACTAAGAATTTTATCAAATCGACTTCTCTGCCTATTTTTACCCGATAAAAATAAGATCTATATACATACGATGTTCGGGGAACGTTTCCACATCCCACAACAAAAAAGACTAACTTTTTAGAGTCACAATCAATGTTTCAGCTTTATTATCAGTATACATAACTACTCTTTTTCCCATACAGTTTCTTAACTCACTTCCACACTCAATGCACAAACCAAACATAGAATTGATAAAGAAAGAAAAAAGAAGATACAACCATCTAGTAATTAAGGAAGTGAGAAGGGGAGGTTCGATATTCGATTTGATATTTATTAAGTTTGATTTTATTAATTTAATAATGAAATAGTTAAAAATAAATATTAGATATTAAATTTTGAAACTTTTTTTTAAAAAATTAATACGATAATTGTGTATTGAAGGGAAAAAAAAATGCTGACAAAATATATTTATAATTTGTATAGCATTTGTCATGTTAGCTTTTGAAAACGTCACACATGCTCATTATGAATTTGATGTCGCAGATCAATCAAAAAAATTAAATCCCTCGTTAATGTTACTTGATCATATGTTATTATTATTATTATTATTATTATTATATGACAAGTAAATATATGACATGGTAATTGTTATTATTATATCATAAATAAAAGACAACTTATTTGAAGGTAGCGTTTGATATTTGATTTAATATTTTTAAAGTGTGATAGTCGCTATTAAAGATAAATCACTCATTAATATTATCCGGTCATATGTTATTGTTGTTATTATTATTATTATTATTAGTATATATGAAAAAGAAAATATATGACATGACAATTGCTATGATAAATAAAAGTTGATTTTTTTAAAGGTAATCTTTGATATTCGATTCAATATTTTTAAAGTATGATAGTCATTATTAAAGGTAGATATTTAAGCATTTTTTAGTTTTGAGTAAAATTTTAAAACTTAATTCTAAGTCAAAATAATAAATAAGCTAATACCTAAAAATCAAAAGCTAATTCAAATAGACTATAAATATTGTACTTGAATATTTGACCGGTTAATAAATCAAACTTAGTATGATAAATTCTAATTAATTTGATTCGATAATTAATAATAAAATTAAAATACAAAAAATTAGTAACTCATTTAATTTTTAACTAACTAATACAAGTTGCCGTAAAATAATTGAAGTACTTATAAAATCTGTCCAAATACAAGAAAAGACAAAAATAAAGGAGGGAAAAAAGTAATATCTTTACTAGTACTATACTCTTTTTACATTCAAGCTGCTGTAATAATTTGATCTTAAAATATTTTTTTCGTTTTAAATTTATTTGATATAATTTATCTAAGTATGAAATTAAAATATATATATATTTTTAATAATATTTCAAAATAAATAATTTCTTTAATAGAAAAATATATCTTTGTGGATATTTTTTGCCAAATAGATCTAATATGAGTAAAATATTAATAATGTCATTTAAGATTCATCAAATTAGATAATGTCTCTTTTTTTTAAGACAGACCAAAAAAATGATATCAATAAATTGGAAAAAAAGAAATAATAATCTCTCTTTACTCTTTTTATGTAAGTTAAGAATTTATTGTATTTTTTAAATTATTTTACACGAGCAAGATTGTCGTTTATATACATAAAAAGTACTATGCAAATATTAACTTGTAAATTACATTAAGTATGTTATTTTATTATAATATTTTGTATAATTGTTTATATTTAGACTTAAATTTGATTTCAGACTTTCTACTCAACTGACTTTTTAAATTATTACATTTATTATTGATGTTGCACCTAGTCCATAGTATTTAATTTGGCATCTTATCAAAGTGAAAATGACTGACTTTCAAGGAGGTACGCAACCAAATTCCAAAATATACCAAAAAGAAATGGTATACAATTAAGAGTCGTTTATTAGCGGGTTAGAGTTATGTAATTATTAGTATTAAAAATTATTTATAAAAAATAAAAAATTATGTATTGTTTTATATAAATTTTCGTTATTCATTTATTAATGGTTAATGTTTTATTCTATATAAAATAATATATAAATTTCTTTATAACTTGTACATATATTGTTATTTCATTTTTTATTTCGTAAACAATAATTATTTCTTATAACTTATACATATATAATAGTTACAAGACAACAACAACATATTCAGTGAAATTTCATAAATGAGATCTGAAAATGATAGAATGTATGCAGACCTTACCACTACTTCTCGGAGATAGAGAGATTGTTTCGAAAGACCCTCAGTCCAGATACAATGAATTCAGGTACAAAGAAGAAGGACATATAATAGTTGTACGAGTTTCTAAATTACCAATATTAATTTCATATATAAATAACTTATCTCCTAACCAAAACAATAAACATGATATTATTAGTTAAGTAAAATTCAACACTTACCTAACTCACCTTCAAATCAATTACCAAACGGATACTTCTATTTCCTCAAACTTATTTTTTTTGTTTTTCCATATGATGTTTTGTATCTATATTGAAGTCTGATTAAATTTGAATATTATATCAATTTTTTTTACATCAGGGATACAATATTTTCTAACAAAAATAATTTTATATTCAGGAAAATGCGAACTCGAACATCTGATTAAGGATTAACAAATCCATTTGCTCAATCTTTTTTCAAACTTCACATGTTTATTTATTTATAAATTTATTATTTCTGTCTGAGTAATCAAAATCTTGTTTCCTTTTTGTTTCTCTTCTTGTTTCTTTCTTACATACTTTAGCTTCTCTCTTTTCTTTCTCTCAAAAACTTGCAACCCCACAAAAGCTAAAAAGGGTACTGAGGTACTGAACTGAAGCTCCTCATATTACCCTTCATTTCAGGCGGATAAACCGGTGGTTTTTTCACAGATCCAAACTTTAGCTAATCTTTTTTGAGGTCTTATCTCTTTTACTGACATGGGGTTTCTAATTTGTACATTTTCTTGAATGTTTATGTTCTGAATGTTACATTTCAGCTGAGTTGCAGCAAGATTATTGGTTTTTTCAACAAGGGTGTTTGGGAAATTTCTTGAAATGACTTATCTTGAAAGATTTTACCTTTTGGGAAACTAGTAATTGTTGTGCTGGTGTAAAGAACTCAACTTTCTTGATTTGTGTATTGAGATTTATGTACTGCTGCAAAAAGGGTGGTTTTGAAATGAGTTTTTCTGAAAGATTTTAACTTTTGGGAAACTTATAGTAATTGTTGTGCTGGTGTAAAGGACTTAGCTTTCTTGATTTGTGTATTGAGATTTATGTACTGCTACAAAGAATTTTCCATAAGGGTGTTTGGGAAGATTAGAAATGACTTTTCTTGAAAGGTTTTACCTTTTGGGAAACTAGTTGTGTTGGTGTAAAAAACTTACCTTTCTTGATTAATGTATTGAGATTTATGTAGTGCTGGAAGAATTTTCATAATGGTGTTTGGGAAGCTTAGAAATGACTTTTCTTGAAAGGTTTTACCTTTTGAGAAACTAATTGTTGTGCTGGTGCAAAAAAAAATAAAAAAAATCCTTTCTTGATTTGTGTATTGGGATTTTTCAAAATGTAAGGGTGTTTGGGAGTTTTGAAATGACTTTTCTTGAAAGATTTCACCTTTTGGTATAGTAATTAAAACTGTTGTAGATTTTTTTTTTCCTTTCTTGATTTGTGTATATTGAGATTTCCAAAGTCTATTTGGTTTCATAAGGGTGTTTGGGAAGTCTTGAAATGACTTTTCTTGAAAGATTTTTTAACTTTTGGGAAAGTAATTATTGCTAGTGTAATTTTTCTTTGAGATTTCCAAGATTTACTTGTTTATGGGGTTATTTAGAATTTTCATATAAGGATGTTTTGAGAAGTTTTGAAATGACTTTTCTTGGTTTTCTGGTTTTATTTAGATGTTTGTAACCTGATTTGAGCATTTCCATCAACAGGGTGTTGGTTAGTTTTGAGTGATGCTGATCTGTGTAGCCATTTGAATCTGTAGATTGTTTGCTGGTGGCAATATGGTTGTGTAAAGGTATGTTCTTTATCTTTGCCATTTTCTCTTTTCTATGTTCTTGATACTTGATATTTTTCCATAATTACTGTTTCTTGTAAAGATTGTGACTTTCTGTTGTTTATGTTACCAATTTCATTTATATGGATAAATCTCTTCTTTTGTGAGTATGGGGGTGTTTTTATCTTTTCAAGATTCGATTTTTATGGTTATTGTTAGCTCGTTCAGTTGATTTTACTCTGGCTTTGTACGATTGCTATGTTTTCACTACTTTTTCATCCTTTTTACTATGTTGGGAAGATTTTGTGTGGATATAACTACTCCAGTCTTTTGGCTCCCGTTCGGCCATATATTTCGAAGTTGAAACTAGAAATTTGAGTTTTTGAAGTTGAATTGAAGTTTTGTGAGTGGAAGTCTGCCAGTTTTTGGGAACTTGAAAATATTTGAAGATTCAGATTTTCAAAATCTGATCAAACTTCACTGCCAAACAAATATTTGAAGAAGAAATTTCAAAATCTATGGTCAAACGCTAGCTTAGTAGCAAAATTCTTAAACTTGCTTGAATTCTGTTAGTTTTTGGTCATGTGTTTCAAATATGGAAATTTGGAATAGCATAGGTGAATTGTATCATACTTTGTGAGCTGTGGAACGTCTGTTCTCAACGTTATTCATTATTATAGGAGAGAATCAAGAATTGAAATGGAGGAAGGATTCGAGTTTAGGCCGTGGGATGAATTGTTACCCGATGCACTTGGGCTAATATTTAGAAACCTTTCTCTTCAAGAGGTGCTAACTGTAGTTCCAAGGGTTTGCAAGTCATGGGGAAAAGCAGTAAAGGGACCTTATTGTTGGCAAGAGATTGACATTGAGGAATGGAGCAAAAATCGCTGCCCTGAAAACCTTGATCGGATGCTTCGCTTGCTTATTCCAAGAAGCTGTGGTTCCCTTCGTAAACTCTGTGTCTCTGGTCTCTCGGACAAATCGAGCTTTGAATTCATTGCAAACAAGTTAGTATATCGTCTTATTGCAGTTATATATTCATTATTAATTATAGACATCAGTTAAAGATACTTTGCCTCACGTAGATCATAATAATGCATTATGTAGAAGTTCAATTTCTTTCAACTCATTTTGTATAAATTTACCGAGTCAATGTACTGGATATGAGTCTCTATAACAAAGAGTACATTCTGAATTTTTTTAAAAAAAAGAGGAAATATGGAAGTTCTATTGCATTCGAGTTTGGTGCTGATCTAATTGGAATTCAGTAGACTTGTCGTATAGCAATAAAGAACATGTCATTACTTTCTTATCCCCTCCCGTGTTGGTAAATATTTACTTGAAGTGAACGTAAACTTCTCTGTTTTGGTTGCTAGTGCCAAATCTCTGCAGACATTGCGGTTGCCAAAGTGTGAATTAAGCGACTCCGTAGTGGAACAGGTTGCAGGAACATTTTCCAACATTACGTTTTTGGATGTAAGCTACTGCATAAAAATAGGTGCAAGAGCCCTGGAAGCCATTGGGAAGCACTGTAAATGTCTGACTGGTTTGCGCCGAACTATGCACCCACTCGAGGTTATCGACAAGCTCTCACAAGATGATGAAGCCCTTGCAATTGCTACATCGATGCCTAAGCTCAAACAACTGGAAATTGCTTACATGCTGGTTGGCACATTGAGCATATCAGAGGTTCTTCAAAACTGCAGGCAGCTCGAGCTGTTAGACGTAAGGGGTTGTTGGAATGTGAACCTTGATGAGAACTTTGTCAAGAAATTCAATAAGCTAAAGGTTGTCGGACCCCTTGTCGTGGATTACTATGATAAGAATGGCTGGGACAACTGCTCGGACTATTCAGGTTCTTCTGGTTATATACCATGGGACTTCGTGGCTGGTGACATTGATGATGACTTTGACGATGATGAGATGTCTGATGGCTACTGGGAAGACGAGGAACATGTGGAGGATGTGGAAATGTGGTTTTACGATGACTTAAATGCAGTGGATGCTGGATATGATTGGCCCCAATCTCCTTGAGGTTTGATGAACTAAGTTCTGATTCAATTTCCAGAAGCTTTTCATATACTATATCTTGTATCTGCTAATGACTCTGCCTATACTACTATCTAAATGAAAGTTTGCTTGCTTTCGAAGATGTAAATGTGATTTCTGTGTTCATCAGATTATATGTACTCCGCGGAATCATATAATAAAAAGTTGTCATTGTATCAATTGATTGAGTTCAACTATATACTTTTCAGCTTTCTCTTTGTTGTGTTCCTTGATGAATCCATAAACTTAACGCCTTATCAGGGCGATCTTAGTTGAAACACTCATCAGGATTGTCTCGAGTTGTTCCATACATTTTTCGTATGGGAAGCTATCGTTGAACTCATGTTACTTTGATACGTTGCAAGGTGTTCTGCTATTGATCTTACTTGTTCTATTATGTGTACTTTGAATATCACAATTTCAATGTCTTAAGACCATTTTTTTACCTATGTTTGAAGTTCATCCATTCCTCATCAATGGCTACAACTAATAGTAGAAGATGAAAAAAGAGCTTGAATTTTGGTCTCTTGTGTGGGATTCTCAACTTTCATTAGCTTAGGCCAAAAGATATATTTCTCAGACTCTTCAAAAATGTTGACAGACATGTCAGATCCTTCAAAAATAGTGCATTTTTTGAGTATGCGTCATGGGTGCAACTAGTGGCGAAGTCGGAAATTTGGCAAGGGTATGCAAAACTAAATATACAATCATAATAGCTAACAATTTAAACCACATAATTTCCTGACGAAGGATCTGCACTGGACCACCTAGGGGCTTTGCCGATGTGTGCAACAACATTTTTGGAGTGTTCGAGCAATATCGACCAAAAGTACCTTGCTTTGGGAACCAAAAATCTCAGTGACACTTGATGAGGAAATAAAGCACTTAAAAGAAGACTATTTTGAGTTGGTAAAAAGAAAACAAAGGAAAAAAGTGGTTTCTCAACTAATCCCAACACCAAAAGGAAAACATAGAGAAAGTTAAAATCTAACTTTGGTATAGTGAAAGAAAGATTATAATTGAGATGGAAATTTTTCCTCCCAATTCCACCAAGAAAAAAGCAAAAAATTGACCAAAGTGAAAGAGTGAACTTAAAGCCAAAAATACCAACAAAATATTTGATATCTCAAGTTATTTTCATGGGCCCTCAACTAAGACATCTAAGGACAAACATGAAAAATAATACAATTGACTTTGTGTTAAAAAAAGCATGTCTACTTTTTTTTTTTTTAATGTTTACTTAATGGACCACACATCTTACATCTTATTGAAGTGTTAGCTTGACTTTTTGTTTTCAACATTTTATTATGTTAATGACATTTTTTTTTGATGATCGAGAAATTCGTCTGGAGCTGAACGTAGTCTTTGAAACCTGAAAATGATAAATCTTGACCCTCTATCTCTACTTTGACGTAATGCTGAAACTTGTGACTTAACTCTGTATATAAGTTGACGATCAACGTAAATATTATCTAGCTATGATTAGAGAAAAAAATGAATACAAAGAAGTGATATAACATATCCTGATTAATTTAGGATTAAGACATGGTTAATTATTGATTGATTGATCAAATGATATTTTTTTGTCAATCTTATAATAATTAGTGATTGATGGGAAGGGAATAAAAGAACAAATTGGATTTTCTTTTTGGATGGAAAAAGGAATTTCTACATTTGGGAATCGAATGTAACTATCATATTATCTCAATTGATTCTTGGACTCACTTTATTCTCTTATTTGTGCCACTTATCTCCTCCTTTAGTGTCATTTTTTATTCCGGTCGCGTTCGAATCAATTTACGCACATTTTATTTATTTCATTGATTATATGCTTTCTTTCGCTAGCACAAGTACCAGATGTCTATTAAGGCTTAAGCATCTTAGAAAAGAATCATCTAATACTTTTTTTTTATCTCATATTATATGAATCTTGAAATACTCCCTTTGTACTACAGTAATAATTTAATTTAAAATTAATGTGATAGATGTGTAGGACAGATTAAAACAGAAACTATTGGTCAATAATAATTTATATAAATTTTAGGAATCACATAGTTTTAATATAAAATTACAATCTATCCCTATTTAATTTGTAATTACATTAATCCCTGAAAAAGGAAAACAAATCAGATACATAATATGTAGCTCGGATACATTAAAAACTAGCTTGGATACATTATAAAATAAACCGGATACATAATATGTAGCTCGGATACATTAAAAACTAGCTTGGATACATTATAAAATAAACCGGATACATAATATGTAGCTCGGATACATTAAAAACTAGCTTGGATACATTATAAAATAAACCGGATACATAATATGTAGCTCGGATACATTAAAAACTAGCTTGGATACATTATAAAATAAACCGGATACATAATATGTAGCTCGGATACATTAAAAACTAGCTTGGATACATTATAAAATAAACCGGATACATAATATGTAGCTCGGATACATTAAAAACTAGCTCAAATACATTATAAAATAATTTAGAATTAGGAGACAAATAAGGGATTTTAGAGGTTTTTAGAAATAGAAGGGAATATTAGAAATAAGGGAAACATAAGACGTGTATTTCAGTAATTTTTCCTAATTTGTATTTTGGGAGAAATTTTGTTTTGCTAAATAAAGATTAAGGCCAAAAATGAAACAAATACTACATATGAAATTGACCATATTTCTAAATTATTAATAATTTTTGGCAAATATAGAATGTAAAATGCCCTTTATGATTAATTGACATGAATGGCCAACAATGACTTTATTTTTTTCATATTTTAATTTGAAAATCTCTTAAACAAACCATCGATTCAGGTAAATCATTACAAAATATGTTAGATCTTTAAAATAAAAAACCTCTTTTTTAATCATCATACACAAAAAAGTTTTATAATAAATTATTAGATATTAAGGAATTGTCCTACCCTAAAATCAAGAATTATTGATAGCATGTCTTTTCTATTGAAAAAGGGAATCTCTGTGGTCCAATAAAAGTGATGTGAATTATTCAATAATTGAGTTCGATTTGCTTCGTAAAAAAGAAATATCAAAAGAAAAGTTATTAATTTCAACACTAATGTTGAATATAAATTAACCAACCAACCAATCCCTCAGGTTAAATACTCTATCTTTAATCAGAGATCTTGAGTTTGAGACTTTGAGTCTTGAATATGAAATTGCCTTTGTTAAAAAACGCTTTACATCCATTGTGAAACCTCCCATCACGAATCCTAATCCAAATTTAACCGACCTCAATGTGAATACCAGATGTAAAAAAATAAAATTAACCAGTCTAGAAGAAGTGAATAAAGCAATGTAAATATGAAACCATAGTCAATATTGGTGTGAATTATTGTCATTACACCCCCCCCCCCCCCACCACCCACGAAACCGATTAT